TTTTCCTGTAAGAGGCCACAAAGTCAATATTTTAGGCTGCGGGCATTATGGTCACTGTCTCCACTACTCACTCACTCTGCTTTTGTGACAAGGCAGCCTTAGGCAAAACATAAATGAATGGATGTGGCTGTTTTCCAATACAACTTTATTTACAAAAACAGACCTCAGGTTGGGTTTGGCCCGTGGGCCATACTTTGTCTCAGTTTACAGTTTCTAGAGGTAAGTGGTTTCAGCACACAAGCCATCTTAGGCTCTGAGGGTGATCCTGGGGCCAGGGAACATCTGCATCTTTTTCTAGAGAGTCAGTTGGGCAGCTAGACCATCACCGTCCCAGCCTAAGAACCCAAGTCATCAATGCAGTACCTTTAGTAGTAGAGGCTGTGGCAGTATTAGAACTCATAAAAATAGTCTCTGAAGTTTCACATTGTTGGGGATTTTGCTTTGGAGGTTTCTGTTTGGTTTTGAGTCTTTTTTCACTTTGGTGGTGACAACAAGTTTATCTCAGGTATACCCATCAAGATTCAGCCCTGGGAGCTTCCCTTCAACCTTCCAAGGATGCCCTGGAATTCTTAGGTCACAGAAAATGTCTCAGCTCCATCCCGATCCCCATTCTTGCACAGCTCCGTACTTCCTTGACCTGACTTCTAAAACTCAATAAGGTCACCCTGGGAGCGAGTTCATCAGCTTAGTTGTACCCTTGTCCGTTGGTCACTTGCCTTCACCTGTCAAGAAGGATGACTCAGCACTGCTATAGCCTTTCCTAGAAATCAGGAAGCTTTATTGCTCAAGCTCCTATTGGCAGAACCCTCTTCAGGTCTTGACACTGCTTAGAAGGGCTGATAGAAGGGCCCTGGGATTCTTTAGCTGCCTAGATACTAGATTGCTTTGGCCTCTGCAGCCCCTGTTCTGGTATCTACAACAGCCAGGCCGGAGGGCGTTCACTTAAGAGAAAAATACTTCCACTACCTCTCTCTTTGCACAACCAGCTTTGGCCAACCCAGTCTGCTTAGGCCATCAGCATTTATGGTCCTGGCACCCCTTGCAAATTGACAACATCGCCAGGCCAGAAGGATGGTTAATAAAACCAACAGGATTTATTTATGAGTTTCTTCTGATAGAAGCCAACTACAAGACGTGAGAGTAAAATGAAGTATTCTCATGCTGTCGTTACTGGCAGTTGTAACAACATTCCCGAGAGGTTAATTGTACGCCGACCATTTTTCTGAGTAGCAAAGTGATTCAGGGCAGAGCAGGACTCTAAAGTGCTACATTCAGGTGCTGGCAGGGCCGTGACATAGGCACACAGGGATGGTTGGAGAACTGAAGACAGAGGCATGCACGTTCTCTCCCCCAGGAACCCAACGCCACCAAGGGCCAGCAGAGGAGGCGCCGTTGGCTCCATTGCTTTAATGCCCTGAAGTAAAGAGGCTACAGCCTCATAGTCACCAGGGCAAAACACCTCTTGCCTATTTACCTGTTTTGACACTGAGATGCCATGTTACTGTTGCTAGGTGTGAAGGAGGAAAGACATGAGATACAGGAAAGAGAGAAAAGCCCAATGTGGCCCCAGTCATCTAGATTTCAGCAGCCTCTCTTCCCTTTCCTGAAAACTGGAGGTTTGCTTTTCTTCTTAGGTTCCTGGGAGACACAACTTTTAAAGGTGATGTTTTGAAAAGTTTGAAAGCCTTCAAAGAACGTAGGTTGTTAAACCACCACATTTAATACTATTGACTCTGAGAGTTTTTGTCCCAAATTGATCTGAACGTGTTCTCTCTGACGACAAAGCGGACCTGTTGAGTGGAAGCATGCATTTTTGAGCCTGTCCACCACGCATGTGAAGCTGTTACTGGAACCAGGATTTGAGGACCCGGCTGACTCTGTCAATCTTTCCTGGCTGGGACTCGCAAACTCTTGGTTGTGTTTACTCAGAATGTTAATAATTTCGGAAATTATTAAAATGGAACCAAAATACTTTCTTTTTAAGAGGCCATTGAGATCACCAATCATTCTGCAAATATAATAAGCTGTGTAAGCTGAGCGAGTCCAGTACTCGACACCTGCCACGAGCCAGCTGGAAGCGCGGCCATTTTCATATGACACTTCATGTGTGGAACTAAGGAGGCGTGAGAAAAGCCCTTTAAAAGCTAGGCCTTAAAAGTGCAATAATTGTGTTGGACAAAATGTTTTCACAAAATTAGAAGAAAAAAAAAACTTTCTTTTGTCTCCCGCTCCACTCTCAATTACCGGTTGTCATCTCCGTGACCTAACTCCTGTGCTTTCGCCAGTGTCATCACCCTGAGGAATCCCATTCAGATTTTAAGGGACTCATTTAGCTGTTACTTTCTATGCTCTTTCTGTTCCCTCTCCAGGCAGAACCGATGCTTTTCCTTTGTACTCTCACTATCATTTGGGGCCATTGGTGCTCATCAAAATTACATGAGGCAATTCCTAAAAATATAGATCTCAAATCTCACCCCAGCCCTACTGATTCAGAATGCTTTTGGGTGAAGCCCTGGAATCTGCATTCTAAAGCACTGCAGGTGATTCAGATGTTGTTGGTGGCAGGATCACTGTCATGCTAACCTAGGCCATTGCTCCTATGTGCCTTTGTCCCACGTGGTCATTTGCATGCCTCTCCCTAGCTGCTTAATTACGAGCTTGTTGAGGGTGATGAAACTCATGCTACTCATATTTCATTCAACACATATTTATTGAGTACCTACTATGTACCAAGCAGTTTTCTGAGAATAGGGGGCATAGCAATGAACAAAACAGGTAGGGCTTCTTCTCTCTTGGACCTCACATTCCAGGGAGGGAAGTCAGACAATAAAAAGTAAATAAATAAGATCATTAAATACTATTTGATTCGATGATAAGTACCATGGAGAAAAATCAAGCAGAAAAGCAGGAGATGGTGGATTCTAGGGTTGTGAGGGAGGTACACACTAAGCCTTCACTTAGGAGGTGATAATTGATAAAGAATTGAAGACTGAGAGAGAAGGCCAAGTAGACATCTGGGGGAAAGGCAAGTGTAAGGCCCTGGAGCAGAAGAATGCCAAGCACAGTCTAGAAACAGAAAGGTGGTCAGTGTGGCTGAGGCAGAGGGAGCAAGTGGGAGAAAGTAGGAGGCTGGGGAGGTAAGTGTGGGGGAACATTGCCTTTGTCTCTGACCAGGACACTGGAACTCACCAAGCCTGTCTTACTCCAGAACAAGTGCTCCATGAATACTTGATAAATGAAGGGATCATCTCTGAGGGCACATGCAAAGGCCTTGTGGCTTAGACCTAGACCAGAAACAGTGACACAGAGAAATAATTTTAGCATAGATATTTTGACATAAATATTTTTAGCCAAGAGACAGTGACACTCACCCACCACTCAGATTTCAGAGCCAGGATGCTTGGATTGAAGTATTTTACATACTACTGGCTATGCGATCTTGGTAATCTCTTATTGCCAAGATCACATAGCCAGTCCTCATCCATAAAATGCAGAAAATAGTTCTACTTCATAGAACTCTATAATTCAATCAGTTTATACATGAAGGGAAACTGTCAGAGTGTCTGATATGCTTTGAGAACCAATAAATATTTGCTATTAACATTAGCATGGATAAATCTAAGACATTTATTAACAATTTGAGGAATTTAACATGCCCGATATTAAATTTTAGTCATTCACTATACTCTGGACTGATAAATATAATATTATAACTACTATTCACTATTATAACTATATAATGATATATAGGGAGATTATTGTTGCATGTCCATTTTAAGGGTGCATGTAAAAGGAATGGGAGTTTATTCAGTTCTGTAAGTGGTAAAATACACAGAGAGGGAGTGAATAAACATGGAGGTGGTGCTGATGACAATTATGCTGGGAGTTACAGCTGTGAGATGAGATGGGTGTCATCTCTACTGCTGGGTATTAGTGTTCCTTGAGGCTACTCAAGAAACTGTAAAAATTAAAAGTGTGAATTAAACTTTGAAGTCCATCTTTCCCTTTAGTCGGACTTTGGCTTGCCTCCTCCAAGGCACATTTCAGATAGAGTAACAATCATTTCTCTGGGATTCCCATTCTTGTCGAACTTGTGTCATAGTGTCCTAATACAAAGACTGAAAAAATAACACATTCCTGTAGACAAGCTTTGCACCGGCATCAGACAGTTTTAGTGCAGCCTGGACAATTTCTTTGTTCTCCACTGTGAGTATCTAATTTATGACTCATTTGAATGATTTGAATATCTGTGTGCAGATGTCCAATGCTAAATGTTATACATCATTTATAAGTAATGATAAGCAGAGACACAATTAATTTTCCTAGTCTATGTCCATTTCTAACTTTAATACTCATTTTTAAGAAACTCGTGAACCACGCCCACCTTCCTTCTACTTTTTACTTATCAATTTTTCTAATCATATCCATGTCTAGTGGTTAATTTTGATGGCTCCGGAGGTAGATGCCTGGCTTTAAATCTTGGGCCATTCATTGCTCAGTGGTTGTGTGATCTGGGGCAAATAACTCAACCTCTGTGGGCCTCAGTTTCCTTCACTGTAAAGTAAGGACAATAATACCACCTCCAACTTCAAATGAAACATATATCACCTAGGACATACTAAAACACAGTAAATGTTGAGTATTAACTATTCTTGGTACTTCTGCAAACTGGCTTGAGGTATCTCTTGACAGCATTCGCTTTGTAATTCTGTGATTGTTCAACACGTGTATGTTTCCTCACTGTATTGTAAATTACTTGCTGACCAATTTGTCCCTCTCCTTGCCTTCGGGGCATTATCTGGGGTACCATCAACAGCAGTACACAAGCATACTATTTAATCTCTTCTCGCCTCCACCTGCCCATGGGCAACCGGAGTCAGCCACGCCCCACCTGTCACTTCTCGAAATAAAACAACTATACAGCATTAAAAGGAAAACCATGGATCGCGCACTTCATCGGCCTTCCCGAGCAACCCCTCTAACTCTTCCTCTCGTTGCAGGATGTTCCGGAGGCTTTCCCTGTCCTTGTTCCTGGTGGCCGTGCTGGTGAGGGTGGCGGAAGCCCGGAAGAACCGACCGGCGGGCGCCATCCCCTCGCCTTACAAGGACGGCAGCAGCAACAACTCGGAGAGATGGCAGCACCAGATCAAGGAGGTGCTGGCCTCCAGCCAGGAGGCCCTGGTGGTCACCGAGCGCAAGTACCTCAAGAGTGACTGGTGCAAGACGCAGCCGCTGCGGCAGACGGTGAGCGAGGAGGGCTGCCGCAGCCGCACCATCCTCAACCGCTTCTGCTACGGCCAGTGCAACTCCTTCTACATCCCGCGGCACGTGAAGAAGGAGGAGGAGTCCTTCCAGTCCTGCGCCTTCTGCAAGCCCCAGCGCGTCACCTCCGTCCTCGTGGAGCTCGAATGCCCCGGCCTGGACCCCCCCTTCCGACTCAAGAAAATCCAGAAGGTGAAGCAGTGCAGGTGCATGTCCGTGAACCTGAGCGACTCGGACAAGCAGTGAGCCCCGGAGGGCGCAGCCCCGCACCGCGCGCGCCCCCGCCGCTGGGTCGCGCCGCCACCGCCGCCGCTGCCCCCGCCCTGTCCTCCGAGCCCACTCACGAGCTGCCTGGTGTCCCCCGCCCCCTCCGCGGTAAGCACGTCTCTTGGGGCTGACGGTGTCCTTGTCCAGAACATGGACCCGCCGCAAGTGGAGCTTTGCTGTGTGTCCCTGACCGACCCCGGGCCCCACCAGTGCCTCCCGAACCGGGTTGTGGATCAGGCCCGAAGGAAAAGGCTGGAAAACCACCACCGCCCGCCACCCAGCCGTCGGAGAGGACCTTTCGGGTGATGCACTGTCAGTCTGGCAGTGATGTTTCCACCATGTGGAAAAGCGAGTATTTCCCTGGCCTCCCCCTACACTCCGGCTCGCCCCCCTCCCGCGCAAAGCGGAGGGCGAAGGATGTGCCACTCTGCTGTCCCCAAGCCTCTCCCGCTGGTCCCTGGACCTCTGGCTGGGCGCGCTCGCTCTGTGATCCGCAGGCTGCCCTCGGCCGCTACTGTCACGCGGCTGTGGACAACTCACATGAAGATGTCCAGGGACAGGGGGTCTCTTCACAAACCTGACACCAAGAAGACAATTTGAGCCACTTGGATCCCTAAGTGGGCTTCCCTGGGGACCTCGCTCACAGCAGGCCACGCCTTCCCCCACCCTGAGCCGCCATCGCCCCTTCTTCCTCACTCTCCCCACCCCACCCCCTGTGGACTGAAGATGAACTCTGGTGTGCATGCTATTATCGCTGCAGTTAGAATATTATCACACACAAAGGTCTCTGTATTAACGCTGGTTTTATAATTGACCTATATTGTAAAGAGCTGTTTTAAAAAAAAGTATTATAGACCTATCCATATATTGTTTCACATGTTTTGACTCTGGCTTTGCAGCACGATTCTGAGTGAGGAGGACAGCAGGTGATGATCTGCCCAGAAGGTGTTTTTAACTCAGAAATAATGCCTGGTCTGCAGTTCACTGTCATGCACCTATTTTAGATTGGGCAGGGAGATGGGAGGAGCCGGATTTGACTTTGAATATTATGTCACGGAAGGTACTAGAGTATTGCAGCACAGTGTAGAAATCGGGTTGGGATGGATGGGTGTCGGGAGGGGAATTGTTTGGGAAGTTGTTAACCCAAAACTCAAAAGCCTGCATATGCGGGGTGAGAAGGTATGTTATTTTCACTGCCATGACAATAAGCAAAAACATATTTCCTGTTAAAAGAAAGAGAGATTTAACAGTATAAGGAGTCAGGTCACTTTGTGGTACAGGAAGAAGGACAGACTACAATATGTAAAATAGGAATCTAGTTGAACTGTCCTGCAGAAAACCACTCGCTCCCTTTTCAAAGTATAGACTTTATCAAGGTCACCTTTCACTTTTATAAGGCATTGTTGAAGTTTCCATGTTGTGGACTCTTGATATAAAGAAGTAGAGACAGTTTATTTTCCAGCAAAATGATACTTTCTTTGGGTCCCCTTGCTAAAATGTCCTAGGAAGGCTTCCCTGTGAGCGATGTGTATGGAATCTGGCTGATGTGAGTTAGACCCCCCTGCTGGGAGTCAGCATGCTTTGTAAACTTTTCACTGGTGACTCCCTAGCAAGTGCTCCTGCCAAGGGGCCGGTTCCCTAGTATGTGACAGAGACCCTCTCCAAGCGTCTCTGGGGACTGAAGCTCCCTCACACTAGGCAGTGGCAGTAGATGTAGAGACATTCACCTAGAGAGCACGACTGGGCTTGGGTGTGTTGGTGACTATTTCAGGCCACTGCACTGCAAGGGTTTTTCTGTCACTTGTGTAACACCTGAGACCTGAGCAGCCTGTGCCGTTGGAAAGCACTTGGCTTTGTGAATGGGTAAACAGCAGCCTGAAACCAGGAGGCAGAGACAAAAAGAAATCTTGAAGGGCTGGAACCTGGGGATGGAGAGAAAAAGCAGAGAGGGTGTCCAAGGTCAGAATCGATTTTTGCGTTTAGTGGAAAACCTCAAGTCAGACTTAGTGGCGGAATGTGCAGCAGCAGAGCTGCGAAGGAGGGAAATTCACGTGGTCAGAATGGAGGCTAATGGGGCGGAGGAGGAGGTGAGTGCAGGGGAGTCTCCGCCCCAACTGCAAAGCCGGCCCCTGTCATTTTATTCACACAGCACCCACACAGATAGGGGAAGACGAAGCTAGAACTTACAGAATGCAAACATGAGCACACTCTCTTTTAAACCCCGTCGTGGGTGTAGCAATGAAAGCGATACGATATGCTGCAGTGCGAAGCTCCTTCTGGAGGTTGTTGTATGTACAAAGTTTACCTTATAATGGCTCAAATTGTATTTAATTGTTTTTTTGTTCTGTTTATAAATGAAGAAGAGCTATAAGTATAATGTAATTATTTTATAGGTATACTATTAAATTATAGAACAAATAAAGATACTCTAGGGTTATATGTGATCCCGGTGTTACGTGCCATAAAAGTGGAATTCTGAACTCGTTGTCATGAACAGCGAAGGAGCCCCATGCACTCAGAGTGCTGTTGTCTGACACGGTGACTTCAACCCCTGGCCTGTGTCATACCGTCTTCTCTGGGGCCTGGCATCTTCAACGAGATTCAGAATCGGGCATCCGAGGAGCAGAGGTGGTGGGTGTGGCCCTCAAGCCTGGTCTTGGGGAGCTTGCAAGGGTCTTACAGATCTCCCACTGACCGAAGACAGAATATTCTCACTGTGCTCTCTGAATAAGAAACACTGAACAAGGAAGCCTCGAGGAATTGCTGCAAATAGGAGTCTCCACTGTTGTGCTCCTCTTCCCTTTAGCAGCCAGCGCACACCACACCTGTCTCTTCAACAAGCCAGAACTTGTCCTTAGTTTTGTTCGTTTTCACATTGACTTCTCACGGGTTTCAACATTTCTTAATTTAAATGCTTTTCAGTGTCACAATGTCTCCATTTTTCTACTAATTGACCTATCTGCCATTCAAGAAACTCAATTATCAATAAAAAATAAAAACCTCAAAAAATTGCACATGGTTGATTTATTGTGTGGACTTCAAAGGAATTAAATTCAACTTACTAATAAATAATTCATCTTAATTAGTAAATGGGACAGAATATTCCACTTTGGGATTCCAATTCACTTATTTCTGAAGTTGGCTGACAAATTTTTAAGTTACGAAGTCAATAAAAATGAATTTTTGCTATTGCTCGAACAACGTAGAATGTATGTATTCCTAGAAAGCTTATCTAATGATTAATCTAGCACCACTGATTATTAATGTCTGCAAGGAAGACAGCAGTAAGACCAAATCATAAATAATGCAGTTAAAACTTGTGGATCATCATGTTATCTTCTGAATCCTACTTCATCCCCAGCCTTGCCTCCCGCTCCGCCCGATGCCACTGCCACTACTCAGGCAGCCCATTCATTTGACCGAAAGCCAAATACCGGAAACCATGCAGTTTTTATTGTTGTCCTTTGTAATCATTTGTGTTTCCGGCTTCTCTAGTATCCAGTTTAGACTATGAGGCGAAACAAACAAAACCAGGGAACTCACTAGCATATTGTTCTTTGAATCCTAACTTTCCCACCTAGTCTGCATTCTTTTCTCTGCCTTTTGGAAACTTCTTCTGTTTGTTTTATGTATACACATATATAATGTCTAGAGATTTTAGTGGGAGGAATAGAGAAAATGTGTCCACTCCATCTTGCCTAGAATCAGAATACCGCTGAATCTTTATAAGTTTTATCAGCCATTTTCTAAGGCGTATGGAGTGTACAATTACCAAGACCTCCAACATACCCACTCCATATCCATCATCTGGTCTCATCTGATAATCATATGGTGAATCGGGGTAGTGTTTTACAGAATGTCCATAAAATCCAGGTCCCTCCAGGGTAAGAACTTACATAGGCTGGGGGGGCAAGACCATAAACATAAACTTGTTCATCCCATGGGAATGAGGATTGCATCTAGTTCTCCTGATAGGTATGGCAAAAAAACCCCACACTTGCCAGATCAAGTTCTGGAGGTTGTTTTAATCTGCTCTAACAACAACAAAAATACATTGAATACTGTAGCTGCAACTGGGGCTACTGCCATCTCCTGCCATGTTCCATTTAATTTTTGTAGGAGCCAACAAAATATGACAGGGGCTACTACAATATTAAAGTCTTTGAGAGTTTTGTTAATTTCCTCCATCCTTCTGTAATTCACCATTCTTTTTCTGATTTATTCATTTTGCTGTGGATAGGAGCAGCTTTGGAAGCTTCCACATGTTCCTCACTACTGCAATCACTCTTACTTAACAACTCAAAGAGTCAATATGAGGGTTCTTCAAACTGCCGAGAGTGTCCCTTCCAATTATGTATTTGGGAATCAGGGGAAGAATCACCAGAACGATCCATGGACCAGTGGGCCCACTGAGAGCCAGACCTTAGCTAGGACTCTAGCAGCCCCTGTGTGTCCCCACATTAGCAGGGAGCCATGGTGGTTCACTGGGGCACCAGGTATTAGTGTCAGTTCAGACCTGGTGTTCAGTAATTCTCAAAAGTTTTCAGTATTTTCTCCAAAGCACACTTATCAGAATAAGAGGTCCTAAGTTTCCTGATTAAGGAGTGGGGAAATAATAAATTAATAGATTTGCCCTGGTATTGCAAATCTAGGAGTGGAATCATCCACTCCTTCAGTCAGTGGATTCCAAGTCTGATCTGGAAACTAGGCAAGAGATAGTAATTTTTATTGAGCTACTGCCCTCTGCTTCTGATTATCCGTTATTGATTTCTTTTGACTGTATAAATTAAGCAATACCCTTTTTGGCCCCCTGTCTATCTTTTCTCCAGGAACACCATGTTCTATTCACATCTCCAACAGTCCTATCACTGGATGCCAGAGTCCTATCACTCCTTGCAACATCTGTGCCCATATCACTTCTGAAAGCTAAGCGGTACAACCTGGCTTATATTATTTTGAGATCTTGCTACTCTCATGTCCATCAGGGAGCCTAGATTTATAATAGTATCTCTTCCTACAGTTGTCCCTGGCCAACAGATGACAGCATTACTGAGCTGCTCACTAATGCTGCTGCCCTTCTCACAAGCACAGGCATTATAGCTTTGGAAAACAGAGACCTTCCTGGGAGCACAGTTGGCTAGTGGGGTTTTTTGGTTTTTGTTTTGGTTTTGTTTTTGTTTTGTTCTGTTTAGCTTTGCATAGCAAATTCACTTTAGCATGCCCACTTCTCTGAGCCTTTGGATTTTTTTATCTACCATGCATCTGGAAAGTTCCTACATTTCTATTTCATTGAGTGTAGATCAGAGCATTTGTGGCCCTCCAAGAATCATCCTAGCACCTTATTATCACCATCCCCGGGGGATTTGCCATAGTGTTAATCATGGGAGAGTCGTCCCATGGTGATAAGTATCCCTCATCCAACTTAATGTCCTGCTTCCTTTCCTTGATGCCTCAGACCCAGGACACATTCCCATGCTGCTTCTCCTGGCTCCTGCAGCAACTTCACTTTACAACCCCTCTCCTTCCTTAGCCCACCCCGCACATCCCCAGTAGGGGTGGGAACTTAACAACATGCCTAAGTGGGTTTAAGGAAATTTTGGAGTTTGAGAGTCTCAATTGCAACTACTCAGGTACTCCCCTCCCAATTTTAGGGCTTCTACTTCTTCCCTATCAGGGTTCTAACCTTGGCACAGGAGACTTGCTGGAGATGAGAGTCCAAATTTCTCTGAAACAGCACCCTTTTATAACTGAGTCTTCTGACTACAGAAGACTAGGGCCTAATTAAATGCTGCCAAAGAGACCCTATCTGTGGCTTTCAAATTCCAACTGAATTGGCGATTAATCACCCTGAGTCTTTTACTAT